AGGACAAGGCAGAGTCAGCGAGCCATTGGGCAACTTTTCTTTTTATTTCTTATAAAATATATTTCATATCGCTGCTGTAAAAATTACATTTCACATTTTTTTTATTTTCTTTTTTAACCTTTTTCTTTTTTACCCTTTTTTTTCCCCTTCTCTTTTTTTTTATTTTTTTAAACAATAAAAATAATACTTGGAAGACAGCTGAGAAAAAAAGCTCCGACGAGATGGAAAAAAATTGCTACCGCATCATCCCCGCTCGGCCGGGACAATCGGTGGCCCCACGGGGACGAACGTCCCAAAACCCTTCCCCGTTTCCCCCTCCCGCCGAGTGACAACGGGGTGGGGGGGTCACCCTGTGCTAAACCAGTTTTGGGGGTTCTAACAACCCCCCCCCAACCAGTAATGGGGTGGGCTGGTGAGGGGGGAGCAGCCTCCGATTAATTAATTAGTGCCCAATTAAGAGGTTCCTATATACATACATACACATGCTCCGGGGTAGACGACGCGGAAAAAACTCTCTGAGCTGGATTTAGAGGTCGGGGTTACCCGCGTTTGGGGCTGAAGAGGAGTTTTCTTGAGTGTCAGGAGGAAAAGTCCGATGGTCGAAGAGGTGGCCGTAAGAGAGTTACAAAAAAAATAAAAGGAAGTAATAAGGAAAGGATAAAATTAAAAAAGGATTTCAAAAATCTGATGTCAAACCAACCCGACACGGTGGAAGCCGGCTGTTGTTTCTGCAAAAAGGCGAGGTTTTGAAGTGTAAAATAAAATCAAAAAAACCAAACAAAACAACCCATCCTGCACCAATCCCTCTATTAAAAATAAAACGAGACAACAAGGACAATTGTGTCCCGTGAAGTCTGTACCGCAAAAGTCCTCAGAAGAGGCAGCCGTGTGCCCCAGTCAAACACGGCCGATAGGAAATATTCCTCCGCGAGAGCATCCCCACCGGCTGCCGGGCAGTAAGTGCTGTGCTGTGCGCTGCGGGAGGAGGAGGGGGCGGAGGCGGCA